TAGTGCCTCTAATTGTTAAAATTGTTACTTAAAACCTAAAAAGGTTAATGCATTCAGGCTTAAACTCTAAAATGCTGCCTTTATCCCAAAACCAGACACCGCCGCTGTGTCTGTCTAATCTCTAGGCCATCATACATTATGAAACCAACTGAATAGCTCTACATTTAAAAGTAAATGGGGCTGTTTTTGCTGATTTTGAAATGGAATTTCCAACTAAAAGGTGGGTGGTTTTCAAACCTGATTACAAACAGATTTTATGTTTAAGTGAAAACTTGGGGATTTTACTTTATTCCATTAAAAAGTAAAAACTTTTTAAACTTTTATGATATATAATAATTTAATATATTCAAAACTATTTTATACATTTATTGTCAAGCACTCCATATAATTACTTTCGCAAGTTTGAAGATCATTCTGTGAACTTGACACAATCAACAAATGGGGTGATGATTGTTATATATTATATGCATATAATTATAAATATTACTGGAGTTTTTATTTTTTTTGTAAAAACTTTGTCACAGATGTGGATGATGTTAAATATGTGATAAACTTTGATTATCCATCATCATCAGAAGATTATATACATAGAATTGGTCGTACCGGGCGAAGAAGGCAAACCGGGACAGCTTATGCGTTCTTCACAAGCCATAACATGAAACATGCAGGAGATTTAATAGAAGTATTAAGAGAAGCAGGACAAAATATAAATCCCAGACTTACTGAGATGGCAGAATTAGCTAAATCAGGAATCTATGGAAATAGAAGTATGTTATTAAACTATACTTACTTTATGGTTAATAAAATTTCATAACACATTTATTTTTAATATGAAAGGTGGCAAAAGATTCATGAGTAATGATAGAAGCAATGGTAGAAGAATTAATAATGATAATAGAGGAAGAGGTGGTTCTACCAGAGGAAGAGGTGGTGTGGGTATTCGTGGTGGAAATTCTTATCAATCTACTTCAAGCAATTATTCAGGTTCAGATTATAGTGGCTATAATATGAAACAAAGTAATTCAGTTAATCAAAATACAGGGTATGGATATAATACACAAAGAACTTATGGGCAAAGTAATTTAGCACAAAGTTATGGAGGAGGAGATAACTATGGAAGTACTTATCAGTATAGGGGAACAACATATTAAGAAAAAAAAGTTTACTATTAAATAATGTTAAAGTAGTATAATTAGTTAAATTTGTGTTAAAATTAAGATAGCATACAATGAAAAAGACAAAAAATATGGAACAGAACTAAAAAAAAAAAGATAATCATGTATTTTATGTACATGATAAAAAAGGTATAAAATTAATATAATAATGGTAAAAGTAAGGTTTGTTAAATATGTATGTATTATTATGAAATTAAAAACTAGAATTCACTAAACCAAGAAGTATTAAAAAACATTTAAAACTAATACATATCATATTAATATATTATGTTAACCAATTTATGTTGTGTTCATTATATGTAACTTTTTTTTTTAATTTACACATGTTTCATTTCTGCTGTAACATTTTTAATAAATTTCAATAAGTTAACAATAATTAAACATAAATTATTAACAAACTTGAAGTTTCACTGCATAAATATACTAAACAAATTATCTGAGTATTAAGATTTGCATTAAATAACTGTAACTAAATGTATTTTGTTAAATTTTTGTGTTGTATTACAAATTATATTAATAAAGTTGTTCTTTCTTATGAAATTAGTTAAAATATTCTTACCCTCGAACTGGAAAAATATTAAACTGACAGTTTGGTTGCCAATTCAGTGTTTTATTTCCGTACATATTCCCCCACTCAATACCATTATTTCCGGTACTTTAGGCAATTATAATATTTTATAAAGTGTTTATAATTAATCTTTAGATGTGAATATTCAAAAGACAAATAAATAATATTTTTATGCATAATTAAACTGTCTAAATCGTAAAAGTAATGATACATGAAATGTGATAAAAGGAAAATTGAAGTGGAACTATTTCCTGGTACAATACGACGCCATGACATTTGTTTCACAGATCCTCTTCGGATCGTGTAACGAGTAAAACATACTTTTCGTTAATTCTAGTTATTGGTACGCTGATCTATTTGCAAAAATCATCGTAATTTCGAATTAGAAGTACTACATATTCTTGTGAGCATGTAAGTTATATAAAATTTTTATTAATATTATGCGAAAATATCAATTTTCTGTAAATACCTTATTGACACTTTATGTCTACAATAGACTATGCTTTACTCCATATTGCATTTATATTGACGGAGTCCTTTACACTTATAATATTCAAAAGATTTTTATGGTTAATTATAATTAATTACGTATTAGTAAAAGCTTTTAATAGTAAAAATGCTTTTTATATTAATGGAAAATATACATTTATTTTATAATTATATTTTTTTACAAATTGATAACACGTGTTTAATGTATATTTATAAAATTCGGCTTAACTGTAATGTTTTAAATAATTTTGAGTATATTTAAAATATATATTATAATAAAATATTTCTTTTTGTAATAGGAGGTTCCTTTTCAATTGACCATATCATTATATGTATATTTGAAAATTATATATTATATTTACATTTAATTATTATTTGGAAATAATTTCATGTTAAAGGGCATACCGTGATCGTGAACGTAGTGATAGAAGAGGAGGAGGTGCACGTGGGGGTGGCCGTTTTGGTGGACGAGATGGAAGTGGTGGTGGTGGAAGATTTAATAGTAATTCCAGTCGAGATGGTAATTTTGGAAACAATAACTTTAAAAACAGACAGCCTGGAGAACGACTTCGTAAACCAAGATGGGATATGAGTACATTGCAACCATTTAGAAAAGATTTCTATCAACCTCATCCTAATGTTACAACTAGAAGTCCACATGCAGTTGAAGCTTATCGTTCAGATAAAGAAATTACCGTGAAAGGAACCACTGTACCAGGACCAAACATATATTTTGAAGAAGGTGGATTTCCAGATTATGTTTTAAATGAAATTCGTAGACAAGGTTTTGGAGAACCAACTGCAATTCAAGCACAAGGTTGGCCCATTGCTTTATCTGGACGTGATATGGTTGGAATTGCTCAAACTGGTTCTGGAAAAACATTAGCATATATCTTACCAGCAATTGTACACATAAATCATCAACCAAGATTAAACCGAAATGATGGACCTATAGCTCTCATTCTAGCACCAACAAGAGAACTTGCACAACAAATTCAACAAGTTGCATCAGATTTTGGTGTCTCATCACAAGTAAGAAATACTTGTATTTTTGGTGGAGCTCCAAAAGGCCCTCAAGCTCGTGACCTTGAACGAGGTGTTGAAATTTGTATAGCAACACCTGGACGTCTCATTGACTTCTTAGAACGTGGTACAACAAATTTACGTAGATGTACATATTTAGTACTAGATGAAGCTGATAGAATGTTAGATATGGGCTTTGAGCCACAAATTAGGAAAATTGTGGAACAAATTCGACCCGATCGACAAACTCTCATGTGGTCAGCAACATGGCCAAAGGAAGTTCGTAATCTTGCAGAAGAATTTTTAACTGATTATATACAGATTAATATTGGCTCTCTACAACTAGCAGCTAATCATAATATTCTTCAAATTGTTGATGTATGTGAAGAATATGAAAAAGAGAGTAAACTTATGAAACTTTTAGAAGAAATTTCAAATGAACCAGAAAATAAAACTATTATTTTTGTTGAAACCAAGAGGAAAGTAGATGATATAACACGTGCAATTAATAGATATGGATGGCAAGCAATTGGCATCCATGGAGACAAAAGTCAACAAGAAAGAGATTATGTACTAAATCGTAAGTGTTAAATTTTTTCTCTTTATGTATATAGATACATTCCGTTTAATACCAGAGAATTTATTTCAGAGTTCCGGAATAGCAGATCTGCCATTCTAGTAGCTACAGATGTTGCAGCAAGAGGATTAGGTAAGAATCTGTTTACACATGAGTGGGTATGATGTAAGGGTCAGGCTGCGATGGTTATTTCACATTTGTGAGAGTTGTATTATTGTGATGTGGCAACGGATAACGGCATGTGCCAGACTGATTGACATTAGTCCTTTCTTGGTGTGAATGGAAATTGTTTAAAAAGTGTAGAGGTTCCAGAACAAACAATTAACACAATTAGGGATCCAAGTTTTTTTGTTTTAAGATAGTTTAATTCATTTTCATTAACTCATGATTCAGAGAATTTAATGATGTATTATAAAAACGTACAAAGAAAAACTTAATGCTGTTATTCTCATCTTTTCAGCACAACAATATTAAAAGGATATTTTGTAATTTGTTCAGTTTTATGATAGTTAGGTGGATTTTGACATACTTTTAACTTCTGATAATTCAGCACATGAAATATGAATTTTTACATTGTTTGTTCAATTATACTGTTAGATAAATATTAATATCAGAATTAAAAGTAAGTTAAAATATTTCAGCAGTAAAATTAGATTAGGTAAAGAGGTAAGATGGTAGGAGGTTCATCTCTTTAAATTTTGCTCTGATTGAGAAAAGTCTTGTCAGTCTGGTATTAACGTGCTGTTCTATGTGTTTTCAGAGGCACATGCGACGGAGTTTTATCAATGATAAGAACTCTGGAGAGCTTGCTTTGGAATATATAATTGAATGGGGCGTGACTGCTGGTCTCTGTCCCCGCGCAACAAGCTAACCTAACGCTGTGCCTCGGCCCACCGTGCCACTTGAAAAAACACACTCTCACTCTGTACCTGCGACGGTCCAAAGTATGGAAGTCATAGAGTTAGGGTATCTAGCGTACAAGGACTACTGAACAGGATAGATGTTTTACTACTCATTTTCTTAGATTAGAAGGATAGGAAATGGCATTACATTGTTTTGCAGTGGTTGTGAAATTACACTCTTTATTAAATTTAAAAAAAAAGAGGGGGGAAATATCAATCAGCATTTCTATAATATTATTTGATTTTTTGTGTATTAAACATTTACGTTAGTACGTATATTTGAATTCATAAAACTCGTAAAAAACATTTATGAACTTTCAACATTGCAAAACAAACGTTGATGTTACTCGTACAATGGAATGCATGTGGGGTTGATCGGAGAATGCACACGGTGCTCATCCAATGTTCCAACCTCACGGAAGCAATACACAAGGACCAAATTTTCAAAGACCAGCACAGATCCATACTTTGGTGCGGGAGAGAAGGGTGTGAAGTTACTAAGAGTAAATATACAGCTCGCTAACGCATAAAGTGAGAATTCCATGAGAACCATCTGAGCTCTGATTCCTCTACATTTCCAAAAATGTATTTACGTTTCCAGCTTTTGGCAACCACAGGTAAATAATATAAAAATTTGCTCTTTGTGGTCAACTCATTTGTCTACTTCATGTGAAAATTATAGATGGAATTAAGAACTTATTTTAAGTTTCTAATCGTAGGTACATATTTTAAATGTTTTATAAATAAATATTGTTTAATTCCATCTATACTATACATATTATTAAGTCTATTAATGCTTTAATTAATTCGCTTTGTAAGTTAATTGAACCACAAAGACACAAGTGATTTTCGTTTTCGATGATTATAATTTGTAATGTTGTACAGATGTGGAAGATGTTAAGTTTGTGATAAATTTGGATTACCCGTCCAATTCGGAAGACTATGTGCATCGGATCGGACGTACAGGACGTTCACAGCGTACGGGAACTGCGTACGCATTTTTCACACCTGGTAATGCACACAAGGCTAGTGACTTAATTCAAGTTCTAGAAGAAGCAAAACAAGTTGTGAATCCTAAACTGTATGAATTATCAAGGAATCCAGGCATCTATAAAAGTACATTTTTATTTGTATTTAAAATAATTTATTTATTTTTGTATTTAATTTCTTTATATTTCATGCTATTACGTTTGTTTTTTACAGGAGGTCGCTATGGTGGACGTAGCGGAGGTGGTAGTGGACGTGGTTCTGGAGGCCGTGGTGGCGGTTCCCGAGGTTCTCGAGGTGGTCGTGATGGAGATAGAGGTGGCAGATTCGATCGTTCTAATGGCGGCGGAGGAGACCGAGGAAATAAATGGAACGGAAATAATAGCAGTAAGTTTTCAAATTGAAATTGTAATATTTTTTACTCTTTTTTCTTATTTTATTATTTTTATGTATACTGTGAAATATTTTTTGTTTATTCAGGTGGTATGGGAGGAAGCAGTTATAGTAGTAAAGCATTTTCTCAAAATAGTTACGGTGGAGCTTCTGGTGGTGGCTCCAGCGGTTATAGTCAAAATGGCGGATATGGAGGAAGCGGGGGAGGAGGTGGTGGTGGAAGTAATTATAGGCAACAAAATGGTTATTAATTTCAAAATGATTAACTCTAAAAGAAAGTTTTATGTAATATAGTAAAAAGGAACGGGAAGGAAAATGTCCAGTCTAAAATAGAACATATTTTCCACATAACGTGCTTCTTACCGTGACTGAACACAAAATAAAGTAAAATGCACGCGGTATTATTACCGATTAAAACAAAGTGATTGAAGGTATTAACAGATTCAAGAACACTTACAAGCATTCTTTTTTTTAGTAAAAAAAAAAAGTATGCAAGTGTAATAGTAGGTAGAACATTATTGATTCCTGCAAGTACGGTCATTTGTTCTTTTATAACGCAATTTAACATTCAATTTTTCCACACTTCTGATGAATATTAAGTATGTACTCAAGTAAAGAAGGAAGGTCCATAAAATTGAATAGTAAAATCAAGCAATGTTCGTTTCTTAACATGAAAAAATTTAAGAAACATTAAAAGTTGAAAAATAATATTTAGTTGAAAACAAAATAAATGCCTAATTTACGATACCATGACGGTTATTATGAAAGTGATCAAATCGTAAATGCATGGATCATGTGTATTATTTCAAACGTGCAGTGCATTGCATTGTATTAAACTTAAAGAGGGCATAAAAACTCTGTGCATTGTAGTATTAGACATTTAATAAAATAATACAACTATGAAATCTAAACAGTTCTACATAAAAGTTTATTACTGTGTTTTACTTTCCTTATATGGGAAGTAAATTGTATTCATTACATTTTTTATTGAGTTTAAAAATATTAAATTAAGAAGTCATTATATACTGATTTAGAAAGATATTATTCCAATTAATGTAGTGTCTGTGTTTTACACACAAATTTGATGAAGAAATGATAAATTATAAGTTACTTTCATTAAAGCAATGTTTCAGCCATATAACTATTTGGAATCTACATTATCTATCACTTTCGTCGTTCATAAAATATTACGATAATACGTATCGATAAATCAGTCAGTTCGTGAAAAAAGGTCTTCTTTATCCATTGGCTCTAGCATTTATCAAAAATCATACGATCAGGTCAGAGTTTATTGATTCATTCCAACTTAATGTGCTGTACAGTTACACTTCTGCGATATTGTTAGAGTTGTTATGACTGCCGATTATGTGTGCCTGTCTGATTGCTTTTATGATAGTCGAATTCACATTGTAAAATCATTAGTCATTCTTTATAGTATTTAACGTATAATGTATTAATGTGTATATTTCAGTGTTCTACGACGTTGCGTGAATATATTTTTTAACATTAGCTGAATAAATTGAAGAATTATTAGAACAGAATTCTAGACACAAAGTATTAATGTCTTATTAATACAATAAATTTTGTAGACCTGAAATTGTCGTAATATTTTTATATTGTACAATGTTGTCCAATAAATATTGAAATATTCCACTTTCATTGTACTAATACTATATTGTATTATTATGCAGTTGTTATTCCGTATCTAGTGAAATGAACAAAAATGTCAATTCAAAATCATGTAATTTATAAAATTTACACACGAGAATGTAGATAAATTTTTTTATGAAATTACGAGGTACTTAAAAATTCTTAACATGTATTAACTTGTTCGAACTTACAATGTTGTAAATTACTGCATATAATTAATATATCGATATCATTCTAATATTATAGAACATTCATTCTTTACAATAACCTTGCAAACAAATCCAGTTACTGTGTTTCTCCTTCTAAATAATTATAAATTATTAAATGTGTCAGGTGGGGACGAAAAAAGTGGGGGAGTAGTTGATTAAAAACGTATGATGCGTGAATCAGCGACGCGCGCAGTGCAATCCAAGATCTGGTGGAGGTTACTTTGTAGTAGTCTGCTATTATTTATTTTACATAAAGTTCCTTTTCTCTATTATAAATATCAGTTTCCGCCATTATGACAGAAAATCGTAAGGATGTAAGAGTGTGGTGCGATGGATGGTAAATTTTTTCTAAATTAATCTATTGCTTATTTATTTTAAATTTCACGTGCTTAGTGTTCGAAATTGGTAGATGACTATCGTTTTTCAGTAATAGGATGCCGATCGTTAGTATTTCATGTTTATACGTGTATAATGATAAGAAATATATATGATATAAATTTTAATAGTTCATATTTATGATTATGTAATATTATTCGTATCTTGAACTATCAATATGTGCAAACTTCACTTTGAGGAAAATTGATTCGAATTTCCCACCGGCATAGTTCGTTGTAAATATAAAAGTATTTTCTTTTATGAAATGTTAGAAATAATTACGTTTTTAACACAGTTACGACATGGTACATTTCGGCCACGCGAATTCTTTACGTCAGGCAAAGGCATTAGGTGATTATTTAGTCGTCGGTGTACACACAGACGAAGAAATTACCAAACATAAAGGACCACCGGTATTTATGGAAAAAGAAAGGTATGATTTTATTGTAGAAAAATAATTGAATCAGTTCATATTTTAAATCATTCTTATAACAGGTGTTATAACCTTTTAGAGTAACTGAAATTAAATGCAAATTCTTCTAATTAATGTTACTTATTTCACATAATATTATACAAAAATACGATTTTTTTAAAAACTATTTAATCTACTTTTGTTTCATTGTTTAATATGTTTGTATTAGGTATAAAATGGTTCGGGGTATTAAATGGGTAGATGAGGTAGTAGAAGGTGCACCTTATGTTACAACTTTAGAAACATTAGACAAATATAATTGTGATTTTTGTGTTCATGGTGATGATATCACTATGACAGCTGATGGTGTGGACACATATCATTTGGTGAAAGCAGCAGGTCGTTACAGGTATATATTGAACAGTAAATTAGGATAAAAGTGCCTGAATATCAGTATTATAAATTAGATATAAACAAAATGTAAAGAAAGATAATTATTATAGAGAAGTTCAAAGAACAGCTGGTGTATCAACAACTGATTTGGTAGGACGAATGCTTTTAATGACACGGCAACATTTCAAACAAGGAGATAGTGAATATAGTGTTGACAGAGAACCTAGTAAAAGTATGGGTCAAGATCGAACAGCTAAAAGTCCATGGACAGGGTGTTCACAATTTTTACCTACTACACAAAAAATTATTCAATTCAGTGATGGAAAAAGTCCACAGCCTGGAGATAAAATAGTTTATGTAGCAGGGGCATTTGATCTGTTTCATGTTGGTCATTTAGATTTTTTAGAAGTTGCCAAGAAAGAGGGTGATTATCTTATAGTTGGACTTCATACAGATCCAGTAGTTAATCGCTACAAATGTGGTAATCATCCAATTATGAATCTTCATGAAAGAGTGCTTAGTGTATTAGCATGCAAGGTAATAGATAAGATATTAATTCAAGTGTTTAGTCAAATATTAGGTCAGTCATAATATATTTAAAATTTATTATTTGGTTTGTGTAAAGTATGTTAATGAAGTAGTAATTGGGGCACCATATGAAGTTACAAATGATCTTATGGGACATTTTGATGTATCTGTTGTTTGTCATGGACAAACTCCTATAATGCCTTGTGAAGATGGTTCAGATCCATATGCTGAACCCAAAAGGCAAAATAAATTTAAATTATTGGATAGTGGTAATGACATGACAACAGAAGATATTGTTGAACGCATAATTCTTCACAGGTATGTTCCTTTGATGTGTTGTATTACATGCATGGTTGAAAATGCTTTATCAACTTTTATGAAAACTGTTTTTGAAACAAAATTAATGTTACATATGGTATACATAAATTGAATACTAATACATTGGTATATTACAATAAATATTAAAAATAAAGGTTTTTAATTAATTGAGCCATATTAAAACAAATTGAAGAATATATGATAATTCCTGAAAAAAATTATTTTGATGAGA